TGACAGTTTTTATCTTTTCCTGTGCAGTACTGTGTATGGACCGACGGGCTGAATGCCCTCCTTGGGAAGGACATGTTGAGTGATCTAACGCGGAACGACTTGGACACGCTGCTCAGCATGGAGATAAAGCTACGCCTCCTTGACCTGGAAAACATACAGATCCCAGATGCTCCCCCACCTATCCCAAAGGAGCCCAGCAACTACGACTTTGTTTATGACTGTAACTGAGGCTGCCACTGAAACTGGCTTCGAAACTGGAAATATTATAACTGGAGAGATATTGAAAATTAAAAAAGAAGAGTGAGGAAAAACCAAGAAACCCACTTGTGCACCTTGGATTTTGGCTTTGGGGAGGGGTGTAGCAACACTCGCGTTCCTCCCTGCTCCCTGCATCCCTTCCGTCCCCATTCCCATCTTCCCCATTGCTCATCCAAATCCACATTGCTTTAATTAACTCATAATTGCAGGCCGTCGGCCTTGCTTAAGGCAAAGACTTGCCACTAAAGAAGCACCCTCCCGAGGACATTTTTTACGTTTTTAATACTGGAATAGACATCCTTAAACCAAGGGACGCTGTCACCCAGCTGCATGCCTGTGACACCCACTTGGCAGGGCAGAGGCTTTAACTGGAAGGAGGAGGGAGATAGGGAGCAGAAGCAGCTACTGTAAGCAGAAGATTTCCCCAGACACTCCCCAAGAGTCTTCTCACAACCGAGTCCAATGCGGTGATGAAATCGGTTAACTGCTTCCCCATGCTCGCATCACTCGGCGCTGTCATTACCCTTTCCACTGTCATCTCGACTCTCGCCACCAGCCATCACCCACCCGACGGAAAGTCTGCAGGTGTTTGCTGTACCATACGCTGCAGTGCTGCAACAGCTTTTCACTTCTTTTCCTCCCGCTCTTAAATAGCCCCACACTAGCAGGTCAGGAAGCCACCAGTGCGTCCCATCCCGCTGGCATTCCCTAAGCCTCAGTTGCCTCTCAAATTGGCTTGTTGCTATTCGAAGCGATGGTTGTTTTCTCGGTCCACAGTTCAGCAGTACTTTCCACAGGTGAATGACAACCGCCAGGCACCCAGGTTTACATTGTTCTCATCGCTGCAGTGTTAGAAATTTGCAAGGGGTTATTTTGGTTTTGTACGGGTTCTAATTCTTTTATTTTATTTTGCCAAACAAACCTATTTAATGAAACCCAGTTCCATTGTGAGTACTTCCGGAGGACGATGTTTTTACTTGATTTCCATTTGGAACATTTGCCCTGATGGGAAAAAGAAATAGTATTTCCCTTCAACTTCACTGTTGAATAAAAATCTGAGTTGTGATGATTCTTGGAACTTTGTTTTTCTTCTGAAGTTGTCTTTTATTCTCTGTGGTTCCTAGAAGTGTTTGGTGCAAAGGGGAGGGGGAAAGGTGGAACCTTTCTTACCTGCGTCGATTTGATTTACTTACTCATCTGTTTGTGGTGACAAGGGTGGGGTGCATCCAGAGCTCTCCATTGCCACGGGTGCATGAGCCTTCCTGTGAGAAGGGCCCTTTGTGAAGTCTGAAATCTCAGCACACCGATGTGCCCATGGTTGGTTTAAGGCTGCTGCCTTTACCATGCTTGCTGGAGTGACTGCCTGCCTCCTATGGGAGCGTTTCTGGCTGCAGCAGGTTGGTATTGGGGAAGTTTGCGCTTTGCAGGATGCATTCCCTCCCTCCTCGTGTTCTTGTAGGTCTGGACCTAGAGGAACCCACCAGCCCTTTCCCTCCCACCACCCCTGCTGAAGACAGGCGTTTATTTGCTGAGTTCCTCTCCTCTTGGACCCTGCTGAAAAAGGCTGTGAAGGGGTTTTAGCGGAGCCTGTGCTAGTGAGAACCCTGGTGGGTGTTTCCAGTTCAGGCCGATGCAGAAGACCTCCACTGAGGTGTCCTGTGCTCCATCCAGCTGGCTCTGAGCTCTCTCCATCCTGACTGCCCTCGCACCAGGTGAAGAGAGGAATGGCATCCTGCAGGTCCAGTGTAAGGGAGGATGGGGAGAATGGTGTATGAATTCAAGCATGAGGGTCCTGAGGAAGGTGCCTTCCTGTTGCTGTGTTCACAGTGGTTTATGATGCCTTGATCTAACAGCAGATGTAAGTTGGTTCAGGTGGTAACGGATGGTAAAGTAAGGAAAAAAGAGACTCTTGGATTAAACACTTGAGTAGGAAACAACAGTGGACTGTGGCTTGAGAGGAGATCAGTCTGAATGAGAATAGGGATGTGCAATGCGTGATGTGGGAGTTTGAGAGGGTTTTGTTCTCCAGAGCCGTCACTGATGATAGCAAAGGTAGCCATGGACAGGAATGAGTGGAAGCACAGGCACTGTGTGCCACAGAGGTTTTTGGAGGGGTTCTGGGCCTGGGGAAGGAAGGCAGGAACACGCTTCTTTACAAAGCACTGATGCTGCCTCTTGCCTGCGTGAAGAGAAGACTCGGAGAGCAGAGAACCTGGGTTGTTTCACTGATCTCCCTGACGGAGCTGATGGCTTGGCTGTGCATAACCTTTGCTTTTCATTCACAGACTGCAGAGCTGCTGCTTCAGCTGGGCACTGCTGTTGTCAGAAGGAGCACCTTTCACTCCTAAGTGATGAGAGCTGCTGGCTCAGTGGCACTGCGGTGCCGTGCTCTTTGCAGGCATCTGCGTGAACATCAGGAATGAGCAAACAGAAACCCTCCTCTGCCAGCTTGAGCAAGGGGGAAGGGTGACTTGCTTCCCCTACTAAGGTGAGTGCCTCAGTTTGCACAGGGGAGGTGGTGGGAGAAGAGCTGGTGAGCCAGCCCTCTGTTCTTCCCAGCATCTCACGCTCATCCACATTGCACCGAGGCATACTGACAGCACTCAGGCAGTGTGGGGCTCATGGCCGTCAATCCCTGGCTGCTGCCTCTCTCCTTGCACCCCTCAGGCTTTACACAAGCAGGAGACAGGACCCAGTAGCCTCTCTCCTTCCCTGGAACTCCGCAGCCTGACCTAGGGGTCCAGGCCCAGGGGTGGGTGGATGGATGGATGGATGGATGGATGGATGGATGGATGGATGGATGGATGGATGGATGGATGGATGGATGGGTGGATGGATGGATGGGTGGATGGGTGGGTGGGTGGATGCTGCGGCACCACCGCATGGCCCTGGATCACCCCTCCCTGCAGCCACCCTACAGAAGCCCATCTCCCCACGTGGCCTAGCTCTTAGTGTGTGTTCTGCATCGTGTGGGATGGTCGCGTGAGCAGGCGTGTTAAATCTGTCTCTCCCCACGTGTCCTATCCTGCCATAAGAAAGAGGAGGCTAGGGAGATACGCTGGCATGATAGCCGGTGCAGCTATTTTAACAGCAGCTCCCACAGCAACACAAAGGGCTGTGGTGCAAACAAGCATCCTGCCTTCAGTTTCTGGAGCTGTCACACAGGCTCGTTGCACCATTATGAAATTAAAAAAGAAAGAATGTCTTCAATGATGAACAAGTATCCCGCTGCTTCCCATTCGTTTTTTAAGGGGGAAAAAAAAAGAGAATGAAAATGGCAAATTCATTTGCTCACGCTGTTGTGTGTTCCGGAAAAGCTTTTAAAGCTTCACATTCAAGGAGCTGCAGCAGGAGAAAAAAATTGCTTTTGAAGTTTCTTGTGTAATTTCAAAACGTTAAGTGGGTAATTGCTTGTAAAAGCCATAAAGGGGAGAGAGGGAACAGAAAAGAATAATCAGCCTAATTTTAGCTCCTGGGTTCGAAATGACTTTGCTTTTGGAAGTGGATGTGTCCTCTTACCAGAAAACTTGAATCAAGAAAAACGTGTAAGTTCTTAAGTCAGCTGCTTGTAGGGACAAGGAAAAGAGCAGCAGCGCTGAGTAATCCTGCACAGGACAGGCTGTGTGTCAGGGAAGGAGCTCGCCCTCCTGGGGCTTTCATTACCACTTCTCGGAGTAAATTCCTGTTTCAGTATAGAGTTCTGTTAGTAAACCTCACGGCTTGCAGGGAAAACAACGTTCCCTTGCGAGGAGGAGGTAGTGACGACTCTGTCTTGGGTTGCAAAATGACCATGCAAGATGCTGGTTATCTGTGAAATCCTCTTGTGTCGTGGTGCCCTACCCAGTGCTGCTTGCAGGGTGTTTGTTACCGGTGTGCCTGTCCCGTCAGGTGTGCCCAGTAAGGCAGACACGTCCCTGTGGGAACGTGGGGGCTTGACTGGGAATCTGGTGGGATCCACTGCCCAGAGCAAACCCCTGTCTTCGCTTAACGGAGAGGAGAAACAAAGCCCCCTCCTGGCAGGAGGCAGGGGGGCACAGGCGTGAAGTGTTCCTGGGCATGAGGCTGCTCTGTGGGGGCTTGTCATTGCATTGCACCGCAGTGCTCAGAGGTGGCTCTGGTGCGTGCAGCTCTATGGTGGTGCAAGCTGTTAATCCTGAGCAGTAACCAGCAATGGATGATGTTAGGAGTAGGAGGACACTGTTGTACTGACATATCCCCCCCCTCCTCTCTTTTGCTGCTGCACTGACAAGTCAATGTCATTAGCTTCACTGTCATACGTATGAGAGTCATTCGTCTGAGAGGGTGAGTGTGAGATCTGATCCCTTTCTTGTTCGGCTCTTCTTGAGAGTTAAAAAACAAAGTCAAATAAATCCAGCCCTTAAATCTGGCCCTTACTGACCCGGGGCTATCTTAGCTGTCAGAAGCAAGCCTGGAATACTAAAAGCTTGATACAAGCAAAGAGCCCTTCTCCTTGCAGCAGCATCAAGGAGCTGGGAGTGAAAAGGATTTCCCTTCAGACATAATTCCATATTCTCCGCATGCCGCTGATGGTAAAATCCCTGCACAGCCTGGAAGGCGTTTGCAGGACAGAGTTTTTGTCACTTCCCGCTGGCTGAGCTGTCGTTGCTTTTCCCAGAGCCTGCTAAATCAGGATGCGACTCAGGCAGTGCCCCCCTCCCCGGATGATAACTGTGTTTGAATATTAAGCATCCACATGGCTTACCCAAGCTCCCTGGTTTACAAAGCCCTTGCCCATGCAGCAGAAGGGGCTTGATTTCAGTTTGAGGAGCAGGCACCTACATTTAGGTGGGTGCTCGTGGGCTTTGCTGGCTCAGGGGCTATGTGAGCAGGAAGGCAATTTTAGCTGTCAGTGAGCTTCCACCGTGTGCTGGGAGGTGATGCAAGTAATGGCTTTTCTGTCTGGTGTGTAATTGGATTGGGTACCGCTGGCTACTTCAGGAGACTGAACAAGATGCTGCCTGATGATTCAACATCACTCCAGCTGCCTTGAGCATCTCTGGGATTTACAGAGGCAAAAGGGGGCCTGTAGGGATGCCGGGGATGGACTCTTCATTAGGGACTGTAGTGACAGGACAAGGGGTAACGGGTTCAAACTGAAACAGGGGAAGTTTAGATTGGATATGAGAAGGAAATTCTTTCCTGTGAGGGTGGTGAGGCGCTGGAATGGGTTGCCCAGGGAATGCTCCATCCCTGGCAGTGTTCGAGGCCAGGTTGGATGAGGCCTTGGGTGCCATGGTTTAGTGTGAGGTGCCCCTGCCCATGGCAGGGGGGTTGGAACTGGATGATCTTAAGGTCCTTTCCAGCCCTAGCTGTTCTATGATTCTATTCTATGATTCTATGAAATGGGAACCCTTTTTGTGTGAAACCTGAGAGGAGAACGGTGGCAAAAGCACGGATTTGCTAGGGCAGGGCTGGGTGTAAAATGGGTGTTGGAAGAGCCATGGCTTTTTGTATCACGGTGATTGCAAAGTGCTGATGCGGGGAGCCCTGTCCTGCGGCAGCCTCCTGGGGGCAAGGTTAAACAGACCTGGAGGCAGCTCCGAACGCATTTAGTGACAGAGATTTACATTTTTATTTTCACTTCTAGCTGGGAGGCCTTGAAGAGCAGGGCTGGTCTGGTGATGCTGAGCTTGTGAGGCACGGAGGGCAAAGGGAACGTTCCGTTGGCATCCTTCTCCCGGGGACAAAGCTGCTGTTGGAAATGGAAGGACTTTCTGAGCTGATGTGTTTGTCCATCAGAGAATGTCCCAGCTTCACGGCAGCCACCACACGGGCGGTGCTGTGCAGGGAACAGGAACTGCTGTGGGTTTAGGCTGTCTTGGAAGAGCAAAACGTCCTCCTCACGTGGGGAGGATCGCCCAACCCCTCCCGCATCCCATTTGTCTCTTGTTTATAGACCATTTCCTATAAGGCATGGAGCCAGGAGGGGCTGGGCTCTGCTCCCAAGGAACAAGGGATGGGACAAGAGGAAACGGCCTCAAGCTGCACCAGGGCAGGTTTAGATGGAGCTGAGGAACAATTCCTTCCCCAAAGGGTGCTCAGGCATTGGAACAGGCTGCCCAGGGCAGGGCTGCAGTCACCGTCCCTGCAAGTGTTCACACACCGTGGAGACGAGGCCTCAGTGCCATGGGTTAGGGGTGGCCTTGGCAGCGCTGGGGACAGTTGGACTGGATGAACTCAAAGGGCTTTTCCAAGCTGGTTGATTCCGTGATTCCAGGGGACACTCACAAAGGTGGGGGACCCAGGGCTGCCTGTTCCAAGCAGGATGCTGGCCTGGAGTTTCAGCCTGGGGAGGGTACGGCCAGAAGGCAGCAGCGCATACAGAGGGTGGGAGGCAATGGGGGACACCCGGCATAGTTTTTCCGAGGGCTGCAGCCGAGGGCAGGCTTTCTTTCCCGCGGTGCTTAAGGCTCTGTCTTGAATGACTTTATTTCGGCTGTCGTTAGAGGGTTTTGCAGCCTGATTGAGCACCGCAGTTAAACTCTCCCTTGATGAAACCTCATGAGTCTAATTTTAATCTCGCAGGCAACATAGTGTTCAGCCTAAACTGATGATGTTTTGGGTTGTCGCGAGGGGGAGGGAGTCTGCTTGTCTTTTGTTTAATAGGAAGCGGCATGTTTTTACAGGGCCTGTCTGTATCCTCTCGGTTCCTCTTGCAACGCCTCAGATTTCATGTCCCCTTCCCACCCACCTTCCCCGGGGGCAAAGGCACCCCGGAGATCTCGGCCATCCCACAAGCAGGCCGTGGGAGGCTGAGCCTGTGGGAATTCATTCCCTGCCCATCAGCAGGGAGTTCGTGTGCCGGGGTGGTCTTGGAAGGAGGTGGGAAAAATAGTGTAGGGATGCGCCAGGCTTCAAAACCAGGGAATCTTCTGTAAATGCTTAAAATGGGGACACTGAGGATGGAGAGCTCAGAGGAGCCTTCCTGTACCTGAAGGGGCTACAAGGGTGCCGGGGAGGGACGAGCCTGGTGCATTTGGAAGCCTTGGAGATGCGAGCAGGGAAGCATGCAAAGGTTCCTGTGCCAGGACTATGACATTTAATGAGTGCCAGGGGATTATCTCGGCTGGCTCTCACGCGCGCCGGGCGCTCTGCACACACTGCTTGACTCACGATACCCTCTGTCAGTCTCCAACGCTTTCCAGGGCTCTGGGTTCCCCCGTTCTGTTCCCAGCCCAGGGTGGGTACAGAGACACCTTGCACCTCTGCCATCCCGTCTGTCTCAAACAGTCTAAGTGCAGCCAGCTTCCATGTTAACATCCATCACACGCAATCCCAGACTGCTTTGGGTTGGAAGGGACCTTAAAGCTCCTCCAGCTCCAACCCCTGCCACGGGCAGGGACCCCTTCCACTAGAGCAGCTTGCTCCAAGCCCCTGTGTCCAACCTGGCCTTGAACACTGCCAGGGATGGGGCAGCCACAGCTCCTCTGGGCACCCTGTGCCAGCGCCTCAGCACCCTCACAGGGAAGAGCTTCTGCCTAAGAGCTCATCTCAGTCTCCCCTCTGGCAGGTTAAAGCCATTCCCCTTGGCCTGTCCCTACATCCCTTGTCCCAAGCCCCTCTCCAAGCAGCAGTTTCCTCCCTCGGTTTGGTTTAGTTTTAACCGAACACCGATCACTTCAGTTCCCAGACTCCAGGATGCTCCTCAGCAGTGGGCTCCCGCAGACAGGCTCCTGAATTGAGCCCATGAGGCAAGCGGCTGGCACGGGTGCGTTCAGCTCCCCCTGCCTGCTGAAAACTGGGGAGCTGCGGACGTCCTGCCCCTGTTCGTGCGGAGCAGCCGGAGCAGTGCTGGGGCCGGCCCGGAACCGAGCACTCCCTCGCCCCGGCAGCCCGGCGGGGTGGCCCATCTACCGCAGGCAGGCACCATGCGAGCCCTCACCAGCACGGAACCGCTGCCTGCTTCCACAGGCACATCCCATCAGTTTACAGAACCAGACAGGAGGTGTGGGGAGGGGGGAGCTGCTTCCTCCTTGTGTGCTGATGGGGCCTGAGAGACCCTTGGCGCTGAGGTTCGCAGGGAGTGAGCTGGGTACCAGTACGTCAGCACTGCAGGGCCTTTTAGAACTGATCCCCACGCTGAGGGGGGCACTGGCAGGTGATTCAGGATGGTGCCCTCCCGAGGGGCAGAGTCTGAGCGGTGTCAATTCCTCTGTGAGCTCTGAAAAAGTGGCTTTGCCTTGTGGGAGCCATCTCCAGGCTCCCTGCCCGTGGGGCTGCTGGCTACGAAAGTCATCCTGGGGGAGCAAGCAGTTCCTGCTGCTATCAGCATCCCTGTGCTGAGCCCTGGACATCCCGCGCTGGGTCCAGGAGGCCAAAGTCGGCTCCTTTGCACCCCAGCGTTGCTGGATGGGGCTGAAGCTGTGGTTCCCGTGCTGTGAGGAAAAGGAAAGCCTGTCTGTAACTGCCTGGTTGGCCAAGTTCCTGATGGGATTCAGTACCTCAGTGCTGCTGAGACCATCTTCTCTTACTAATGGCATATGGGGGCACTGAAGATACCGTAGGAACACTGTTCTGTGCCACGTACTGGAGAAGAAAAGAATTAAGGTACGGTGAGAGGAGAACTCAGAGGTGCTCCCCATTTGATAATGGATGCATAACTCTCTTGCTGGCACATTAGCCCATTAAAAAGGCACTTTCCAGACTCCTGAAGTGAAGGCCCGTTTCCATCAGCTTTCTTTACACTTTCCCAGCTTCTGAAGCCTGCTGATGCAGGTTTCTGTGGGCAGCCAGTTTGCTAATGCACTGTGTCTTCTTCCAGCACACGCCAGTGGTGAATGCGAAGGGAACCCTCCCCATTTCGCACTTGGATGAAGCTGTAGCCCTACAGCAGCATTGTCTAACATGACCCAGAAGCGCAGCACCAGGGTCTAGGATGTACTCAGATGCCTGCATCCCAGCTGAAGATGTTTAATGTTGTTTGCCTTACGGATGTGGTGAGGATTTGAGCCAGGCTGTAATATACTCCAGAAACATCCTGGAGTGCTAAACAGAAGTTAATCTTTTCGGGAGATAGGTATGCTTATCTTCTACAAACGAACTGCATTAGTGAAGTAACGGAGGGTCTGATTCTGCTGTTGCAAGGAAGATGATACTCATCTCTGAAAGACAGAGGTGGGTGTGAGGATGATAAAGCAGGTGTGCAAGACCAGAGTGACAAGCGATGAATAAGTCATGAGGAGGGTCCTGGGTCATAGTGATGGCACCAGGAAATTTGATGTACTGCATGAACCGTTCCCTGCAAACAGAGAGAATAAGGGCCTGGCAATTCCGCCTGGTATGAGCACGAAGAATAGCTCCCAGCAGCCTGTCACACCTGGGACAAACGCAGGATTAATAGTGTTTAGTGCTGGCTTGTATCCTCCCTGCCTCATTGTGGTCTGAGCCTCCAGGGGATGGGAAGGTCTAGCTAATTAATTCTCTTGATTCAAGCACCTGTAACTGATTTATGTGCAGCCTAGGGTCTGCTCATACAGGGCGTGAGCCGGCTGGAGAGGAGCACAGCTTCCCGAATCCCCAGCGGAGGGGAATTGCTGCATCTGATGGATCTTAGGCTGCAATGTAAGCAACAACGGCATTGGAGAAACCTCTGCTGGGTTTTCCTCAGTGCAGGTAATACACAGCCCTTCTAAGGATAGTTGCCTCATGGTTTTGTCCATGGGCAACAGCACGGCATAGAAGAAGATGGGAGAAAATGATGTCAGGAGGAGCAGAGGATTTTGGTGCTTGAGGATGCAAAGGATGAATGGTTCTTTTTGCCAGGAGAGGCAGAGATGTGGCCTTTT